ACCACTGTTTGAGATATCACATATACTCTCAGATAAGATCACTAGAGGTGTCAAGTACTACTTAGTGCGATATGCAGGCTACGGCCCTGAGCATGACACCTGGGTCAAAGCCACAGAGCTGACCAATGCAGCAGACATAATAGCTGCCTATGAAGGCTAAACATTATATTAAGCCTGATGCCCTTACTGCTTGTAATATATACTAATACATGTCGATCATCTATATACCTTGCTCTTAATGTTTTATCATTATGTTGCATAGAAGCGGGAAATCGATCCTTCCTTGCTAAAGGTGTAGTGAGCCTTGTACAAAATCATAACCTTGCACAGATACGCATACATGCGAGATATCATATCTGTGGATAAATAAAAACTGCTAAATGCTACCTTTGCCAAGACCGTGGTTAGTCATCGGATTCTGTGGCCAGTCATCCGAAGCTACCGGAGACATCGACTGAGGTAGACGGAGTTGTGATCCTAAGTTATGCCTGACAAACATAACTAAAATAAATTTCACATTAGTACGTGGCGAATCCACTCTCACTCATCGCGACAGATGTTCGTCAAAGCGTGCGTACTGGACCAATAATTCAGGAGTTGAGCAGACCGGGTGAAGGATTATAAGTCCAATCCCGTTAGAGTATGGGTATGTTGACCCGAGCGAAGAAGTCCCTGGACAGGGACAGTGACATCGACGCCTCACTGAGGCTATTAGACGGGGTTCGGAACAGTCCGACGGTGCGTACGCCAACTGTTCCGACCCCCGCTCCGACTTCCAACGAGGATGCAGACGTGGCGACCAGGAAGTACTTACAGGAGCAGAGCAAGCTGGTTGACGACATCTACAAAGCGCGTCTACACCGCCAATGGGCCAAGGGTGTCCGCGAGGATGTCCTTGGGGACAAGAAGCACCACTTCCGCGGTACGGACGATGCTGGCCTCCTCTCCGAGCTGGTGGTGCAGCTGCGTACGGAGTTTCATTCGTCTGGACTGGAGCTGGCATCCTTTGACCTCGACGACCCTTTGGCTCGTGTGGTGACCAAGGTCAACGGCTTGCTCTTCGACGTTCTGGCTCTGGTTATCGAGAAGCACAGCAACGCCTACGTCTGATTGACTGGCACCGACGCCTCGTCTGACCGTGATGGACGGCGAGCCCTGGTGGACATCATCAAGGGCTGTGTGCCGGTGGCGCTGCGTGAGTCGCACCAGGAGGAGCACGCCGCGTTGCGTTATCCCGCAGACACTGACCCGCAGCCCATCTTGGCTCGGGAACAGCGTCTGGTGCGGGATAACAAAGCTACGGACTGGACACCCACCGAGGAGACCAGGAAGCTCTCCCTGTACAACCGGCTAGACCCGGTGTTTTACACCGCGGTCAAGGTGCGGTATCCTCTCGCGGCCGATCTCGCGCATGTCTCCTTGGCGTCTCTCCGCTCCCTTGTGGTGGAGATTTATCAGGCTTGGGCGCAGACGGGGGCGGGGAAGGCAGTCTCGGGCAAGAACGGCATCTCCGCGCAGCTCTCCAGCACCGAGTACGGCGCCCTCCTCAACAAGATCAACGAGCTTCAGGCTTGCTGCGGCAACAGCGCGGGGCGGACGCGCTGCCGGCGCAGCAGCAGCGGCAGCAGCCGCAGCGTCAGCAACGGCAGCAGCAGCAGCGCGGTACGCAGCGGGGATTCCGTGTCGGCACGCACCCGTTGCCTGCAGTCGGTTTCGACCGTGACGACCAAAGGGCGAAGCCCTTTTGCGGGAGGTGCAAGAAGGCGGGAAAAGGTGAGCAGTACCACTTCTACCGCGACTGTCCGTTGGGCGGGCGTCAGCATCCCCCGCACTCGGCCGCGGCATTCTGCATTCCCATCGACGAGGAGGACGCGGAGGGGTGCGTGCATTGGCCATGTGTGCCCTGTTCCAGCAGGCGGCGGATGATGGGGCCGAGGCTTTTGCCACTGCGGCATCTACGTACGGGCCGCCTGCGGTACTCTGTGCGGGTGCGGTGGGCGGGATCGACGTGTCCGCCTACGGCTTCACGGTAGAGCCGCAGCAGCCTGCTGGCGAGCCCGCAGGTGACGACATTCATCAGCGGCTAGACGATCTCGCCGCGGAGGTCCATGCCGCGGCAAACTGCAAGGTGCCTTACACCCACGCATCCTTCCCACCACCGGCGGTTCTCGAGCCGCATGCATCGGCTCTGGTGTGCGGCCCCGCGGCAGCGGGGAACATGCCGGAGGAGCAGGTTCCGGCAGGTGGTGCGGCGGCATCGGCATCCGCCGTGCCGGCCCCTGCTATACCTGTCTCGCAGGAGGAGGATGTGAAGCCCGTGCCGCTTCAATCGGCGCGGGTGACTGCGCCACGACGGACGGTGAGTTCCCTGGGTTCGTTCAGACTGTCAACCACGCCGCCATCGCGCCGGTTGACCTCACCGGCTACGACACCGACGACTACGAGGACTTTGCCGACGGCAGCTTCCGGCTGAAGCCGCGGGGTTCGCCTCCGTCGGCCAATTATGTTTCCGGGCCACCCGTAGACGAGCAGAGGACCTACGGTTGTGGGAAGCCGCCCTGGGGCTTTCCTGCCACGGTTGGGCCATGGGGAATTCCTTTCCTCCTTTCCCTCGTTCTTTGCATCTCGATCATGGGGGCGGCAGCCGTGCCCGATGATCAGTCGGCTGCGGGGTTGCCTTCGCCTGGTGGTGATCTCGATTGGGAGACTCCGTCAATTTTCTCCACGAATGAATTTGTTGAATCCGTGATCCCGGCTCGGGGTTTCTTTGTGGCTGACAATGTGCCACCGCTTGAGCCGCCTGAGCCCCCTGACATCTTTCAGGATCTTGCTCAGGTAGATTTGAGCTTCGACATGGCCTTCTTCTACGGTGTGGCTCTACATGAGAGAGGTCCTTTCGGGAACCCTCCCTTCGGGTCGGACTTGATTGAGACCACCGCTGGCTACTTTGGTGCTGTCGATTGACTTCTTGTTCACTCTTGATGCACACCAACATGGTGGTGTGCGGAACTCCGGTGACTTCAACAACTTTTATGGTTTATGCTTTTGCTTTTGACATCTACAAGTTATATTCTGGCTTGCTAGCTCGGTGCTTTTCAGTTGTTTAGCGGGTGCACAATGCCCGTAGGTTTCTGCACCTGTGCTAGCTAGAGGGTTTCCAATTTGTGTTTCAGAATTGCACAGTTGGATTAGCAGTTAGGTCTGTCAACCTGGCTCCTGCCCTAACTTATCTTACATTATCTGACTCTCCTAGACAGTCACCACCCACAGTGCTGGGGTGGTGTGCTGAAATCTGTATAGGCAGCCCTGACTGGGAGTCCCGGTCAGGCCCCTATGACAGACTCCTAGGCCAACACTGGGCTGCTGACTGATCTATAGGTTCGTGTTGTGACACACGCTGTGTCACAGGTAGGCTAGACTCCGAGACCGTCCGAGACCGTTCCGGCAGGGTAGATATCTTCCGCGGAGGTGACTCGGCCCGCATTGGGAATTTACTTCGGCCACATTTCGGCCCGTCTCGGCCCGAACCCAAAATTGCCCGCCGCAGGCGCAAAAATTCAATTTTAAGTATGACAATTTGTCAAAAATCGATAAAATTTTGGAAATTTATCGATTTTCCCCTCAATGCGACTCGGCCCATCCGCAACTTTTCCTTCGGCCCGCCTTCGGCCCGGGCCTCCGTGACACGGCCCCGGGCCGGCCAATCCCAGGAAGATATCTTCCCTGCGTTCCGGGTATATCTAGCTTAGGGTTTATTTATCCGTTAAGAGTTTATCCACACAGTTCGGGAGTTTCTGATATCTAGTGAACTAGGATATTCCAGTACGCAGTGACGATGGACGCGAACGCAAAGAAGCGGTCGACACAATTCTCCTTGGGCGTGTCGGACCCGGCGTAGCACCGCCGGCATCCACGGGTGACGGTGAGGGCGTGGCACTAGCCCGCCTTGCTGAACGGAGGGCCTCAGCGAGCCCGATTTGGCGCTGTTGCGACATACTTGGCAGAAAATAATCCAGGATGCACAATACTGTAGCTGACGGAAACGGTGCGTGGAATACCAGTCACAGTCGGTAGGTGAACCACGATTGACGGAAGCGGCAAAGGGAACGGAGACGGAAAAAATTGCCGCTTGTACGGTTCGCAGATTTATTATGCTGCGATGTTGACGGTGTTAGAATCGGAATAACCGAAGCGAGTTGAATCAACCGGAATCACCACTCACGTGAAGTGGGACCGATAACCTGATAAAACAGGTGAAAATAGATATATATTTGTGTGAATATATATAGCTTTTTCACTGCAACAGGAACACAGAAAGCAGTGTTGGGGAAACCGGTGATAGCAGAACTGATAGAAAGATTACAGTAATCGCTCACCTTTAAGGAAACTCGACGTTAAGGAAGCAGCCAGCGTTTGGGGGTACCCAAGTTGACGAAAATAGCTGGCTGGTCTTTTTTGCTAAGGAAATTCTCCACAATAAGGAAATTGGTTGCTGGCAGATCACCGAGAGTGGATTCTCTTAAATTCTATGAAAATAAGAAAATCCCGCTGAATTTTTTTTCGAATAAGCTGAAATTCAGCATATCAGCCGGGAAAACCTTGTGAGTCAAAAGTACGGCTCTCTGGGTCCATACTGTACAGTTGGTAACAGTGGTGGACTCTCTAAATTTTAAGAAAGCTGCTGGGCTGAGTTACGTGGACGTGGATGAGTTTAAGAAATTAGCTGGCTGGCTCGAAATCCGAAATTCCTTATTCTTAGCGATTCTCTTAGGACGCGACGCTGGCGGGGGGGGGGGTACCCAAGTCGACGGGAATGGCTGACTGGCCCAAAATCTCCGGTTTTCTTAAAGGTGAGCGATTACTGTACGGCAGTAGCTTTCTAGCAAGTCGGTGTCAGACGGTGACACACGACCAATGACACACGCAGCAAGGGGTGATACTAGGAGAAGCTGGACCCCCATACGGTGGGGGGGGATTTCAGCTTCCCCGTGATTTATATAGAACGAATGGTGCAATGATAGCACAACATAACCGGAAATTTGTGGATGGTGGGTTTGATTCCCCCTTCGTTCGATTTAAGAAATAATCGAAGATATAACACAACAGTTGACAAACAATTATGACGATAAAAAATTGATCATGATAGATTTCTGATCAGTCGGAGGCCTAAGAGGCCAGCTTCGGTACCGAGAAGGCTTCTTGCCGTGTTACTGTGATTGTGTGGACTTTCCCACCCGCCCTCCCTTGTGCTTCAGATACGGGTGTGGAGAGGCCGCTTTCAGTGCAGGAGCTGCAGGACTTGGAGGACCTGGAGCAGCTGGGCTCTTGGCTTGAGCTAGAGGCTGTTTTTCCCAAACCTCAGGTTATAGAAGGCCTGACATGGGCGTGACATGCAAGAGTCGGCGTCGACTTTCCGTCGACTCTACGTCGTCCGAGCCAATCAGCGTGCTGCGATGAAAAAACTGCCGACGCCGACTACAGTCGGGTAACCTGACACCAATCTATAGATTCACCCTATAAACGCCAAGGAAGCCTACAGTATCGCGTATCGGAATATCGGTGTGTCTGTCCGTGCATTTCATTCTTTGATCTCCTCGAAACGTCAGTTTGCGAAGGGAAGCGCAAGCGTCGCGCGGGGCGTGTTCAACACGTTTCAAGTTGTGTGAAGTATCTACTGTAGATACTTCACAGCTTTGGTGCAGCTCTACAGGTATACCAAATAACACGAAGCCAGCGCAGGGTTCCTCACGTCAGCGATATTATACACAGTGTCAGAAAGGCGTGCGCAGAACAATTCTATCTGTTACCTCAAGACTTCACGGGGGCAATATCTTACTTGAGAGGTGCACTCGACACAAAGATCCGACTGCCTTTACGTTGCAAGCACTTTGTCTGTTTCCAAGCATCTGCACGTCTTTCGTTTGTTGCAAAGTCGGTTGTATCTCTCGATTGCCGTAGTCATCTTTACGCCGATAGATCTTATCAAGCGGTGAAACGTGGCAACCTCCGTGGATCGTAACGTGTTCCAACGATCTCACTCTGGCCAGAACTAGGTAAGACTATTTTGAACCTGTATATTTCGTTGCAGTCAATCAGGTATGGGCGACGTTTCCGTTCATGCAGACGTCTCACTCGGCCTACTTTGTGGCGCCGCTTAAGGGTATCCTGACAACTTGGCGCTGCCTGGTGACTATCTTGCGGTGTGACTAATAGTGTAGAATAGTGCATATTCCGTATGGATCTCGGACGGATCTAATTTCATTTTTTTCTGGCGCCGCTCCTTCGAGGCGGCCGGCCGTCCAGTGGTGTTCCGTAGTAAAGGGGATCACAAGGCAGTCGGGGGTTTCTTTACTTTCTGTAAGGCTCCAGTCGCAATCTTGACTGGACCTCATATATGAAGTTGTAGATCGGCCTGGGCGGGAAACATTTGAATATACACGTACCTCCCTCCTCCTCGGGGACGACTTACTCTCATTCAAATGTTCTTTGGAATGCTGCAATTTTTGTAGCTTCGCTCCCAAGGATGTTCACTCGCTGGCGCGTTGCTCCCCCGCGCGCAACGTGCAGGTCCTAATCATGGTTGGAGTAATGTCTGATATTCTTAGCGTTACAATTCATGGTACCAAGTGTTGACGGAGAATATATGTGCCAGCAGATAACGTCGAACAGCAGCGCGTGCGACGCGACCTCTCACCCCGGGTACCTGCTGAAGAACGCGAGAAGCTGCGCATAATCTCCGGCCACTGCCCACCCCCGTTCAGCATGTTGAGACAAACCTTCCAGTGTCTATGCCGGTCATCGGACAGTATCCTCCGCTCATCGCGCCTTCCCTCTTCTGCCATCGCGCCGCTGCTTTCATTCCCTCCACGCGGAAACGCACCACAAAGATGCAGAAACGTCAGCAGCGTCGACGCCTCCGATGACTTGGCTGACGACCATCTCTCGAGCTTCGACCACTTCGCAGTGCCGGAGAAGACAGCCACAGGCCACCCGGAGGACGATTGCCCTCCCTTGAAGCTAGGCAGCCCTTCGCCCTGGGCAGCCTTCGATGCTTGGGGGTCAGACCGGATGCACTCGGACCCGAGCCCCGACGACCTCGCCTTGCTCTCGGAGGAAGTCCTCAACATCCCGGTTGCCATGCCAACCGCAGGTCCTCACCACCCTACGGAATAACCTTTTCGCGGGGATGTTCTTGTGGGACTTCTGGGGTGTGAATCTGTAGCTCCGACGATTGCAAGCAGGCTGATGCGATAGGCTCGGGGGCAACCGCGGTATTCTGAGGCGTTCGGGGAGGTTTCGCGCGCAGCTAGCACGAAGGGCAGAGTCAACGGCGATACGTCGGAGGTGAGTCGCTGTGATTTTTGCGCCGCCCTCTAGCCTTCAGCGCCGTGAGTCAACGGCTATACGTCGGAGGTGAGTCGCTGTGATTTTTGCGCCGCCCTCTGCGCCGCCTTCAGCGCCGTGAGGATACCCAGCTATTCCTATCCCAAAAGCACGACCGTGGGGCATGCCCGAGTAACATCGACGGGAACCGGTGTTGCGCAGCACCCTTCTACCTGAAAATGGCTTTGAGCGGGCTTTCCCACGCAACTGCCTTTGGCCCAATACGAGAGGCGAGAAACGCACTGTTTGGAAGCAGCTACCTGAGCGCCAGTCCTCTTGTCCTCGACGAGGTATGCGCCTGGTGCCTCCTCGACGTTAGTTGTCGGGGTAGTGAGAGGGCTATGAAGGCGAGGCAGCAGGTGGCGAAGGTGCTGGATGCCTATGAGCGGGTGCTGAAGAGCCGATCTTCAATGCAATTTGGATACCCGTACAACCTGCGCTATAACCACGAGGAGCTCAATCGCTTCATGCGCTTCTCCATCAACAATCTCGGCGACCCCTACGTCCATTCTAATTACGGCGTGCACTCCAGGTTGCTACCTGTTGAAATGTGCCTCCGCGCCGTTCGCGTGCCTCCCTTTCCTCCGCCAATCTCATCTCGGTTGGTGCGCAGGGCTCAGCTGTCACGGACGTCCAGATCTCGTTTTGCGTGTTCGGTTTGTGGTCTGCCCGAAATTTTCAGGTTCACATGATTGCTCAAAAGTCATCGATGACGTTGATTTTGTGAAGATTCTTGCAATGAATTGTGCACGCAGTTCTGCAAGGGACAGGTCGGTTTTGGTGTGCCTCACTGTCTGCGAGGCTTAGTGTGCAGCAACGTTGGACCGGGTGAGGAAAATGGCTGGCTCGAGGGCTGCTACTGACAGGGGGGGGCCCTGTGGGGAGCAGGGAGTTCGAGCGTGCCGTCGTTGACTTCTTTGCAGACTTGTGGAAGATTCGCAAGCCCGACTACTGGGGCTATGTGACGACTTGCGGCACAGAGGGGAATCTGCACGGCATGCTGCTGGCACGGGAGACGCTGCCAGATGGCGTGCTGTATACATCCAGAGAGACCCATTACTCTATTTTCAAAGCAGCCGGGTGCGGCACCTCAAGACCTCTCTCACCTGACAGGGACATGCGGGCGTGCAAGGCCTCTTCCCCCCCTCCCCGACCCCTGCGATTTACATAGTTTGCGTGTATGCATCATGGGGCTGAAGTTCCCGCCACCGTGCTGCTGACCTGCTTTTTTTTTCAGGGGAATACTTTCTCTTGTTTCAACTGCTTTCCAAGGCTGCGTTGAATAGTTCAGCGGCCCGTCCTTCGTCCTGATCCTGTACACCTCAGTGTGCTCACACACCCGCTCGACTCAGGTACTACAAAATGGAGGCGGAGTCCATCAACACGCAGCCCTCGGGGGAGATCGACTACGAGCACCTCACGGCGCGCCTGCAGGCCAACAAGGACCGCCCGGCGATCATCAACGTGAACATCGGCACCACTGTGAAAGGGGCTGTGGACAACTTGGACCGCGTGCTGCGCATCCTCTCCTCACTGGGCATTCCACGTGAGCGCTTCTACATCCACTGCGACGGAGCCCTCTTCGCCCTCATGATGCCCTTCGTGCAGGTCACTGCTGCCCCCAGCCCCCCTCTGCCATGCTCCCCCAGTCCCCCTCCGCCATGCTCCCCGCCTCATCGGGCCGCCCAATGTTCGCATCTCAGCAGATGCCCAGTGGGCTTCATGCGCAGCGAGGAGGCCCGGCACGAGTTGGTATGGCATGGAAGTTAGGTACAATTCTGTATGCTATTTTGGGTGAAAGGATCAGTGCTCCTTGCACTGCTACTGTGGGCACAACGGCACCTGCCGGAATGTGTGGGCCACCAAACCTTCCTGGAGCGACCCCTCACTGTGCCCCGAGCAAGGATGGAATGACGGCCTTAGCCGGTAAGCTCACTTTTTCAATTAAGGCCAGCGAGGCGAGGGCCTCCATGAGCTGAGTGCGTCAGATTGTGTCTTGTGGGTGGTTACAGTATGCGCCGGAAGTGAGTTTCCAGAAGCCCATCGACAGTATCGCGGTGTCGGGGCACAAGATGCTCGGTTGCCCCATGCCCTGTGGTGTGGTGGTTACCCGCAAGGAGCATGTGGACAAGGTAGAGCAGCACATCGACTACCTCAACTCGGTGGACACCACCATCATGGGGTCCAGAAACGGCCAAGCTCCGCTGTTCCTCTGGTGTGCCAACCCTCACTCCCTGGTCCCCGCGGTTCCTCGGAGGTGCCAACCCTCACTCCCTGGTCCCCGCGGTTCCTCGGAGGTGCCAACCCTCACTCCCGGTCCCGCGGTTCCTCGGAGGTGAGGTGCCAACCCTCACTCCCTGGTCCCCGCGGTTCCTCGGAGAGTGCCAACCCTCACTCCCTGGTCCCCGCGGTTCTCCGGAGGTGCCAACCCTCACTCCCGGTCCCCGCGGTTCCTCGGAGGTCCTCACTCCCTGGTCCGCGGTTCCTCGGAGGTGCCAACCCTCACTCCCTGGTCGCGGTTCCTCGGAGGTGCCACCCTCCTCCCTGGTCCCCGCGGTTCCTCGGAGGTGCCAACCCTCACTCCCCGGTCCCCGCGGTTCCTCGGAGGTGCCAACCCTCACTCCCTGGTCCCCGCGGTTCCTCGGAGGTGCCAACCCTCACTCCCTGGTCCCCGCGGTTCCTCGGAGGTG